TACCTACTCTGTGACCCATTGGGCTGCAGTGAGGGGCGGGGAGGAGTGGCGATGCCGGGGCTTGAGGAGTAAGCAGTTGGGTGGGGATGCAGGTGTGTAGGGGGGTGTCATAACACCCACTCTGTTCCACCCAGATGGCGTGTGGAAGGTTTGAAGGATATGCTGAGAGAATGATGGATTCTGACCAGAGGAGGCTCCCTGGAGGGCTCAGTGATTGAAGTCGGATGTAGTGACCACCACCCACAACTGCAGAAGTGTGACGTCCCACCCGGGGGAGAAATATCTAATTCCTATTTCTTTGGGTCGGCTTTCTCAGGGTCTCTCCAGCGCCCGGGCTGCTGAGCTCCTGGTTCGCAATGGGCCCAATGCCCTCACCCCTCCCAAGGAGACTCTGGAGATTGTCAAGTTCCTGAAGCAGATGGTGGGGGGATTCTCATTCCTGCTGTGGATAGGGGCCGTCCTCTGCTGGATCGCCTATGGGATCCAGTACTCCAACAATAAGGCCTCCTCCCTGGACAACGTAAGACATAGGGACTCCTTCCTGGCTTTGCTGCTGGCGGGGGAGCAGGCCTCCTTCCATGGGCCGCATCCTGGGCTGGAGTCAAGGGGCTGCCGCGGATCAGCCACTGCATGGGTTTGGGAAAATCAGTCATTTCCCAGTGTTAAGACAGAAATTCTGTCTGACTTTCTGATGTGTCAGAGGCAGTATGAGCATGAATTTTTAAGGGAGAGAGAGGTACGCTGTAAGTTCCTAAGTGAAGAAAAATATCGATATCCATGTGAAGTATCCATGGGCCTTCTCTCCTCGCAGCTGACTCTCCCTTTACCATGGAGAGCATCTGTGCCTGCTTCGAACTGAGCACTAAACCACAAAACTGAACTGGCCAACATGATGCTGAGAAAGAGAAGCCAGGTGCAGCAGGCACATAGTGTTCGGACCATTGACAGGAAGTGTCCAGAGGAGATGGACCCTGGGTCCAGAAAGCAGATTGGTGGTGGCCAAGGCTGGGGCTGGAGTGGGGAAGGACTGCCGGGGCGCCCGGGGTCTTATTGGGGTGACAGATTGCACAGCCATGTCACTTATTCTTCGCCATTTAATTAGATACAACTGTCATCTCTCACTGTCCCGTGGGGCCCCGGCCCTAGGATCTGGCTCATTCCTGATGCTTGCTTTTCTGACTGACACCTGTCCTCCTCACCCAGGTGTACTTGGGCTCCGTGCTTGCCCTGGTGGTTATTCTAACAGGGATCTTTGCTTATTACCAAGAGGCCAAAAGCACCAACATCATGGCCAGCTTCCATAAGATGATTCCACAGGTGAGTGGCACCACCCCTCTCCGGTGTCTGCGAGACGTCGGGTGAGCAAGCACCTGGCGAGGAGGAGCGTGGGGCCTGAGAGGCAGAGGGTCGTGCTCAGGCCCTGGCCCCATCTTTGCTGTCTGAGAGGTCTTGAGCAAGAGGCCTAATCTCTGTGAACCGCTGTTTCCTCCCAGGGTCTTCAGATGACCAAAGAGGTAAGAGGGAGGAAAATGCTCACTCAGAAGTAAAGCAGGACAGAATCATTAGGCACCACAGCATCTCCCGTCGCTGCTCCTCAGCGCTGGAGAGCCGCTAAGACAAAAGAGGTTGAGGCGGTTCCGAGAACGAACTCCTGTGGTTCAGGAGTGTTCGCTGGCAGCCAAGGAGGTCGATTCTTTACCTGTGACCACGTTTACTCCCATTTCCGAGCCTCACTGCGTGTTGCCCCGAGACGTTCTCAGCGTGGGAGGCCCCGGCACCCCTCCCCCCACCCGAACCCAGGAGGTGTCCTCCAGGGAGACCGAGCACCTGCACTGTCAGTGCTGCAGGAAGGCTGCGCTGTCCCAGGCCACAGAGCTGCCAGTGGAGGGACTCTGGGTGGAATCTTTTGTGCTACCAAGTGGAGGTCCATCTCCCACTCCATTAAAGTTTTCCTAACCTGAGTAAGATTATTAAACCCTGTGGCTTAACCTCCAGGATTCTTCCTGGACATCCCAGCCAGGACCACTCATCCTTAACTGTTTCCCTCTCCGTCAGGCCCAGGGCTGTCGCTTTGCTATATCTGCCCATAGCAGCATTTTCTGGTTCCAAGACTATCTCTATGAGCTCCAACTCAAGAAAAAATAGTTCTTAGGGTCTTCAGGCCCAAAGTAAAAGTCTTTGTTTCATTTTTTGCCATTCTGACAGCTGTGGGTTCCAGTACCTCAGTCTGTGGATTTGGTGAGGGTGGCGGAGGTCAGCATCATCCCAGGAGGGAATCTGAGATGTGGGTCGTGGTTTTCTTTCCCAGCAAGCTCTTGTCATTCGAGACTCAGAGAAGAAGACAATTCCAGCAGAGCAGCTGGTGGTGGGCGACATAGTGGAGATTAAAGGAGGAGACCAGATCCCTGCGGACATCAGGCTGCTGTCTGCTCAGGGGTGTAAGGTGGGTACCACGGGACGTCCTGCGGAGCGTGCTTTTGTCTTTCCAGGTCTCAGTGTAAGAGGGCAGAGAACAGGTGCCTACTCTTGAACTTTCTTCCAAATTTCTAGGTAGATAACTCATCTCTCACTGGGGAGTCTGAGCCCCAGCCCCGCTCCTGCGAGTTTACACACGAGAACCCCCTGGAAACAAAGAACATCAGCTTCTTCTCGACCACCTGTCTGGAAGGTAAGTCCCGCCGCTGGAGGGCTGCACGTTTCACCCATACCACTTCTCCCTCTTTAGGCTTTATGGTTTTGTCTGTTTACCATGTCTTGCTACAAAGCTTTCCCGAGAGAAAACATGAATTGAAGAGCCTGGAATTTGACCTTTGTAATTTCACGTGCTGATTGACCACATAAGCCACCAAAGAGAGGGCCTAGCTGAGGACCCTGCAATAAAATGTCTGCTCCACCTGTAGGCACGGCGACTGGCATGGTCATCAACACGGGTGACCGTACTGTCATCGGGCAGATCGCCTCGCTGGCTTCAA